ACATGGCCGCTGAGCCTGCGCGTCCGGAGCCTGTGCTCCGCAACGGGAGAGGCCACAACAGTGAGAGACCCGCGTACCGCAAAAAAAAAAAAAAAAAAAATAGCAACACTAAGCGAGATGCTTATCATCTCTAAATAATCTTGATCACTGTCTGAGAGTCAGGAATTCAGCAATCAAAACCCAAAATGAGCTTTTTTCTTTATAGAGTTTTCGTGGGACACGACAGGGGGCTACCCCAAGGGAAGTCAAAGGAAATGACTTCAAGGACAAATGCAACCAGGGTTTAAAGTATTTTTTTTGATCATAAAGGAAATAAATCTACATTCTTAAAAATGTGGAAAAGAGTGAATACAGTGACAATCTTTTTTTTTGTTTGTTTGTTTTTTGCGGTACGCGGGCCTCTCACTGCTGTGGCCTCTCCCCCTGCGGAGCACAGGCTCCGGACGCGCAGGCTCAGCGGCCATGGCCCAATGGCCCAGCCGCTCCGCGGCACGTGGGCTCCTCCCAGACCGGGGCACGAACCCGCGTCCCCCACATCGGCAGGCGGACTCGCAAACACTGCGCCACCAGGGAAGCCCCAGTGATAATCTTTTGATAGTGGATGAGAAGTGATTTATTTTATGCTTATTTTTTTCTGTGCAGTTTTACATAAAGTGACACTGGTTTAGAGGAATGCTACAGGGCAGGGGTCCGGTAGCGGTCCGCAGCCTGTTAGGAACCAGGCCACACAGCAGGGGGTGAGCAGCCGGCAAGCGACTGAAGCTTCATCTGCTGTTCCCCATCGCTTGCGTTACTGTCGGAACCCCCGGGGAAAAACTGTCTTCCACAAAACAGGCACCTGGTGCCAAAAAGGCTGGGGACCGCTGCTGTAGGGAAAAAGGTATCAGTATGAGAGTACCTGTGCTCTTAATGAAACATGAGGGTAGATCTTTCTTCTCATCGTTGCCTTTGATAATACACCGGTCGTGAAAATAAGCCTTGACTTATGCCCCAACAGGATAAAGAACATCAAGCCTGATATGAAATGACTACGCTCTTAGCTATCCTTTCTCTCTTTACTTTTCTTGACAAGGCGATAGCTCTATGCATAGGAGATTTGAGGAGCTGGCCCACTGACAACAAGTTAGAGGTGGTGGAACTAGAAAGAAGTGGAATTTATGGAAATTCTCTGAGGCAATTCAAATGAAATTATTTTTAATTTTTTGAAAGCTGCAGGGGACTTCCCTGGTGGCACAGTGGTTAAGAATCCACCTGCCAATGCGGAGGACAGGGGTTCGAGCCGTGGTCTGGGAAGATCCCACATGCTGCAGAGCAACTAAGCCCGTGTGCCACAACTAATGAGCCTCCGCTCTACAGCCCACGAGCCACAACTACTGAGCCCGCGAGCCACAACTACTGAAGCCCGCGTGCCTAGAGCCTGTGCTCCGTAACAAGAGAAGCCACTGCAATGAGAAGCCCGCGCACCACAACGAAGAATAGCCCCTGCTCGCCACAACTAGAGAAAGCCCGCGCGCAGCATCAAAGACCCAACACAGCCATAAATAAATAAATAAATTTATATTTTAAAAAAAGCTGCAAGGAATGTATGACACTTAGAGGTTTCTTTTTCAGAAGCTTAAACAGAAAAATATCAAGAAATCAATGAAAATAATTTATTTTCCTGGATCTCTCCATCTGAACTGCAGCCCTGAGTCCCAAAACATCAAGTCTCAGCCGTGCAGGTAACACAGATGATTTCAATAGCTGTAATCCCAGAAGTGTAAGTGCTTTCCATTTCAACTAAAATGCATCCTCCTGGCTTTTCACATTATGCGTTAGATCTCCGAGAGGGAATACTTTACAGGTGTCCAGAAGCACTGTTTGGATGGAAATTCATCAACCTTATCCTCAGGCTATCCCATTGGCCAATCTGTATGTGTCTTACCTGTCTGAACCAGGGGCTGACTTTAAACTCCGAAAATTTTGGCTGTCTAAGTCCAAGCTGTAGCTCCGCCCACTTTCAGTTTTTGAAGTTACAATTTCTCCTCTGGTTGCTGATCTGAACTTGCTAAGAAGAAATCTGAAATTATACACACACACATATATATATATTTAAAAGCAAGACAAGAAAGCATTTAAACATATCATTTCAAAAATACCATTTCTTGGGCTTCCCTGGTGGCTCAGTGGTTGAGAGTCCGCCTGCCGATGCGGGGGACACGGGTTCGTGCCCCGGTCCGGGAAGATCCCACATGCCGCGGAGTGGCTGGGCCCGTGAGCCATGGCCGCTGAGCCTGCGCGTCCGGAGCCTGTGCTCCGCAACGGGAGAGGCCACGACAGTGAGAGGCCTGCGTACCGCAAAAAACAAAAACAAAAACAAAAAAAACCCCAAAACAAACAAACAAAAAAAAACCCATTTCTTGTACTTTCAACAGTAAATAATTCTTCTTTCAAGCAGACTTGGGGCTGAGAAATTCTGGACAGTCCCCAGGGCTTCTGCAGTAGAGTGTCAAAGGTTCTGGTAGGCTCCCAAGGCTGTACCAGTTGCTGGTAAGCCAGGCCTCTGTCCCTCCTAAGAAGAAGACCACTGACTTTGGGGACTCGCCACTGTCACCTGAGAATGGAGAAGCAACGCCTGGGCAGAGCCTGTTTATAGGATACTGAGAAAAGGGAGCTTGAACTCACCTTGCTCAGAGAGGAGAGCTAGGGTGATCCTCTGAGACCAACTGAGGTAGCAACTTATTAGACTGCAGCTCCCTGAGAGCAGCAACTCTGTTCTTCTTGTTCCCTGCTAGGTCCCCTGAGTTTAGAGAGATGCCTGGCACGTACTAGAACCCAGACAATTCTTGTGGAATAAGTGACGGCACCCATGTCCCTGGGGTAATAAGTTTGAACAATGGAATGGCTCATACCAGATGAAATTTGATCGCATGCCCATTGCACTAAATTACTAGGAACTTAAAAAGAGCTTTTCAGAAACCAAGATTCAAGTCACAATCCAGGCTACCAAAGGCCTCAAACATGGATCTTTCCAAATGCACTTGGATTAAAAAACCAAAGCTATATTCTTTTTGTGATGGTATCTGGAGAGACTAGTTCATTTACTTTACAGGCTCCAGTTTTCTCAGGGGGAAAAAGTATTCCAGAGGTACTGGGACAATCTTAATAGAATCTGCCAAGTTGTTTCTGTTTCAAAGACCACTAGAAGAATGTCTTGTCAAAGTCTCAGAAGCTTCAATCTAACTGGAAAATTACATTTTTGGTGAGAATAGCAGTTAATATAATGTCCATTTATGCTGCTCTGAGAACCACCTTGTGCATGTCCTTACCTCCGCAGTGCTGCTTATGGTGTCTCCTCCACCTGGAATCACTGTTCCTCCTCTTTTGCTATCCTGGCCCCATCCATCTTTCAAAGTCCTCATCAAGTCCCACTTAGAATTTCATGTCTTTCCCAATGGCCCCTGTGCCCTCCCGACATCAATGATCTAAGCCACTTATTTAATATTTAATTAATTATTGGGACTTCCCTGGTAGCCCAGTGGTTAAGAATCTGCCTTCCAATGCAGGGGACGTGGGTTCGATCCCTGGTTAGGGAACTAAGATCCCACATGCTGTGGGGCAACTAAGCCAGCATGCTGCAACTACTGAACATGTGAGCCACAACTAGAGAGCTCGTGTGCCACAACTACAGAGCCCACGCACGCTGGAGCCCATATGCCACCACTAGAGAGACGCCCGGAAGAGCCCGCATGCCGCAACTAAGACCCAGACCCAATGCAGCCAAAAAATAAATAAATAAATTTAAAATTTAAATTATTTATTTCCATATTCTATCTCTTGTAGTTAACTCCTTGTCTTGTTGTTTTAGACAGGCTTTCAGGCAGCTCATATTGTCATCTTATGTTTTTCTAAAATCCTTCTGTACAAATTAACTTTTCAGGTGTGGACCTTTGAACCTTTTCTTCCCGACTAGGTGTTATATTCCTTGAAGACAGAAGCATCAGATGCCAGTTTTGAGTTCTAGCAGGGCTCACTGTTGTCTCCTAGCTCCAAGCCCACCATTCTGTAACCCACACAGTGATGCCTGGCCTGGGGTCTGTGCACTACAGCTCCTAGAAGCACCTGTGGGCTCTGAGTTTAATTCAATCAGACCACTGATTGTTCTCGATGGGCCAGGCACCATGCTGGATACTGTAGCACAAAAGCAAAAAAGACACTGGGCCAGCACTAAAGGAGCTTACAATTAAACGGGGGTGGTATTGAGCGAGACCAGTTCATTTACTTTACATTCTTGTGTAAGGAGGGGCTTTGTGTCAGAGCGCATCAAGTAACGAGTGACGCATGGGCACAAGGCACTGTGGGAGCCTCGAGGAGTGACAAATGGGTTTAACGTGGTAGGAAGACTCAACACATAGGATGTATGGTCCCTCTAGGCTATCTTTCCCGTTCATCTCTGCTAATTAACAAAGACATGGTTAGTCATGAGTCTTTGAGTCAAATGACATTTAGGTTTCATGTCTACTCACAGTTCCAGATTCTTTAAAAAACAAAACAAAACAGAACAAAATGGACTTTCTGTAGTGACAGATGAAGGCTCAGGCACTGGCAGCCCCTCACGTTGGCTTCTGCTGAGAACGAAGCCACACTACCCAGAAAGAACCATAAAGCCACTTGGTGTAGATTAGGATTCTCACTCCCTCGGCCACAAAACTGGCCACCAGTTGCCTGAGAAATGGAGACTGCAACAGGCAGGGCTGTAAGGCTACAGTTTGCTTTTTGGGTCCTTATGACCTGCATTTTGGGGGCCACTTGACTCTCCCTGATGGAACCTTCTCACTCCGAGTTTCCCAGCGCCTCCCTGAATCTTGCGTCCCTGTGTGCCTCCCATTCCTATTCCCAGCACTTGACACATATTTGCTTTCTGAATGAAGTCAGTGAGGTGGGCAAATGATTTCTTCCTTAAGGAGGCCCGCATTTCAAAGAGGGGAGACAATGTTTTAAGCCCTCTTAATACATCTCTGATTTGGAGGTTTCAGTTTGCGTCAGCACTCAGGTTGGGTGCGGGGCAGGTATGTTGACCCTACAACAAAGGCAGTTGTCACCTCCTTACAGACAAGACTGGCCCTAGCATGAAACCTTCTACCCAGAAGTAAAGGACCAGATATGTCAAGTGAAAGAAAAACTCTTACAGGTTCAGGTCAGAAGGGACCTTTATCTAAAGCTGAAAGTAATTAAAACTGCATTTCCTGAGAATGATAGGAGAAGGTTACCTCGGATGAGTCTCTGACCTTCTCTGGGTCACTTAGGTGACATTAGACTTGAGAAACTAAGGCATCTATTTCACAGGTGACTGGAACAAAGATCAAAGATTCCCTTGAAGAGGCTGGGTCTTACCCCTTTTTCCTGGGCCCATCGTGGCTGGCCTTCCGCCCAGCAGAAAGCGAAGCGTCTGACTTTTCTGCATTCTGGTGGGTTTGTTCTTGGCTTTGTATTTCTTCAGCTCCTCATGAAAGACAACCAGAAGACAAATTTACATATGAAGTGGCCAGAAATGAGAGCAATTTTCTATTCTTCATTCACTTTCCTACATTAGCACAGGACACAGAAGTCTAAAAAATTGGCAGTGATGTGCCCATCCATGTTTCCCGGTCACACACTTATTTCTAATCTGTTGAGTGTTCCACAGTTAAGTGAGGACTAAGATTGGGGCTCATCTGTGGGAGTTTTGCTGAGATAAGCTTTCTAGGGGTGACTGCAATGGAGCAACTATACATGATCCCTCTGCAAATATTTTTAGGGAAGGGGAGCCTGGTTCATGAGAACTCCAAATCCCTAGAGACTGAATTCTAGCATGGGATTCTAGAAACGATACCCTGATTTTTGAGCACATAAGCCAGACTTCCCGGGAGGGCCAACACCTGTGGACACACCTCGTGACTTGAGAGACAGTCTACACTTTGGAAGGTGCTGAGGTTTGAGCGGAGGAAGCAGCCAGAGCTAACTGCTTACTTCTAACTCCACTCTGTCCCACTGTGGCATCAGACCTGACGTTACCCACCTGGGAAAGCCCTTCCTTGCTACTGTGACACCCAGAAGTGGCACTGGAATCAGGTCCAAGCCTCCCAGCCCTACCCGCCAGACTTAAAAATAAGGGCATTTGTCTCCAGTGTCTGAAAGGGAAGATACCCTAGGAACAGACCAAAAGACACCTGCTCCACCTTTTACTACAGCATACCTGAGAAACATGATCCTAAACACAGGTTCACTCAATATTTAACCAATTAAATTGTAGTCTCAATGCACAGAGTAATGTTCTCAAGGTGGGGTGTTATTTGCATTTGGTGACAGTATAATTCCTCATTGAGTGAAAGCGTCTTGTGCAATTTCAGGCCATTTAGCATCTCTAAATGCCATTAGTCCCCCCATAGTCATTGGGACAACCAAAAATGCCCCCTTGCATATCTCAACACTCGCCTAGCTTGATGGAGGGGGGCACAGTACAAAATATCAGCCCCTGGTTGAGAATCACTGGATGAGAAAAAGCAGCATTTAAATGAAATCTGAAACACATCCTGTTGAAAAACCAAGGACTGCTTTCACAATGTGAATCATGTAATTCACCTGTTTTATGTTACATTCTTAAATGTTTAGTAAAATATTGGAAGTGCATTCAGGAAAAGACCCGTCTGTGATGAAGATAAATGCCTCCCCTGAAAATCTCAGTGTGTCACATATATGAAAAATCACTGTGGGTTTTATTTTCTACCGACTTCCTCTTCCCTTGTACGAACTGCAGATTTAGATTTCATGCCACTGAGTTTTGAAATGACCCGAGGGATTCAGGAAACTCAACTGTTCTCATTTGCTACATAATATAGGGAAGTTATTTAGCTGCCAAAATGAAGGTTAAAACAGTCTTGCTTTAGTTACCTGGACTTCTTCTTAAGATGGACTGTCGGACGACATCAGTGCCCAGAACACTGACGTGCTTGAAACGCTTTGCCTTTTCTTCAAAAAACCATTCACCAGTTACAGTCCTTAGCTGCCTACTCAAAAGAAAAGAGGACAGCACTGAAATTCAATTCTTTAGCCAAATAAACTCTCAAAAATCCTTAATTAAGTAAAAAAAGAGCCTATAGTTATTTATAGCCTATAGGCTAAAAAATAGCCTATAGTTATTTACAGAGTCCATCTCAATCTTTGGAGTATATTATGGTGATTATAATGGCCACTATTAGTTGCATACGTACTATGTACCAGGTATCTGCTAATTGCTCTTCATACTCAGTATACTTTTATCCACATAACAACCCTCTGTAAACATTATTATCCCCATTTTATAGATGAGGAAACTGAGACTTAGAGCAACAAAATGATGTGTCTCACACGTAAAGCCAGGATCCCATCCCAAGCAGTCTGGCCTATAACTCAAGTTCTTTTTTTTTTTACATTTATTTTATCCAAGTATAGTTGATTTACAATGTTGTGTTAATTTCTGCTATACAGTAAAGTGATTCAGTTATACATATATACATACATTCTTTCTCATATTCTTTTCCACTGTGGCTTATCACAGGGTATTGAATATAGTTCCCTGTCCTACACAGTAGGACCTTGTTGTTTATCCATTCCATTTATAACAGTTTGCATCTGCTAATCCGAAACTCCCAACCCGTCCCTCCCCCCTCCCTTGGCAACCACAAGTCTGTTCTCTATGTCTGTGAGTCTGTTTCTGTTTTGCAAATAAGTTCATTTGTGTCATATTTTAGATTCCACGTATAAGTGATATCATATGGTATCTGTCTTTCTCTTTCTGACTTCATCTAGTATGATAATCTCTAGGTCCATCCATGTTGCTGCTAATGGCACTATTTCATTCTTTTTTATGCTATAGCTCAAATTCTTAACCACTGCATCAGTGGGTAAATAATCTTTAATGACAACAGTGGGCAACAAATAAAGGTTTTGAATTATAAAGGGGCCATGATCAGACTCTGTTTTCTTTCTTTCTTTCTTTCTTTCTTTCTTTTTTTTTTTGGCCATGATGCACAGCATGCAGGATCTTAGTTCCCTGACCAGGGATAGAACCTGTGCCCCCTCAGTGGAAGCACGGAGTCTTAACCACTGGACCACCAAGGGTGTCCCAATCAGACCCTGTTTTAGCACGATACCTTGATGTAATATAATGACTGAGTTAGAGTAAAGAGAGAATGGGACAAAGAGACAGGTTGGCCATGGCAACAGTCCAGGAGAGAGATGGCAAAACCCGAGCTAGGGCAATGGCAAGACTAATAGAGAGGAGGAGACAAATTAAAAATGTAGGTGGTAGAAGGACCTGTCTGGGTTTCACAATCAATTGAACGTTGAATGTGGTAAAGAAGGACCTTTGAATAATCACACCCATCTGCAAGGGTTACACAAACCCTTTACCCCAGTTACACAGACCTATTTACCATTCTCAGAACATGGCCCATGTTCACTTACTACTTGTCCCAACACCTCTATGGAGGACTGTAATGGAAAATGATGAGGTTGAAAGGTAGGATTGGGTCACATAATGGGAATCTCTGAATGTCAAGTGAAGGAGTTGGAATGCCATTTTGGAGGTGCTAGGGAACTCCGGCAGTTTTTCTAAATTTCAGGTTGAATCACAGCATCTCTGGAGCATTGTAAGGGGGAGAAACCAGAAGCAGGAAGGTCAATGAAGAAGTTATTGCAACAGATAGGATAGGAAATGATGAAGATGTGAATCAGGGTACCATGGGGGCAAGAAGTGAAAAGAAAGATAAAGATACTTGGGCCACTATGAAGCAGATAGGTTAGGGGGTTCCTGGAGAAAGGGAACCAGGAAAGGCTTTCTTGACGTAGAACCCATTTTGGCCTAAGCCATTTTGTGATCTGAATCTGGCTAAAATACTTGCCCTGGAACAGGTCTCAGTAATTAATGATCTTAAGGGAGGGAATGCAGAAACTAGGGAGGAGCAGTCAAGAAACAAAAGTGCAGCCTTGGGGCAGGGTCCTGGTTCCTTAAGAGATAAACATAGTATCTTTGAGTTCTGCAGGAACTAAGGCCCCCACCCAGGTGGAGGATGGAATGATAATGTCGCCCCTCCTGACTTCAGTCAACTGAAGCTTGGACTCCGTCAACTTGCCCCAATTCTATGCTGAAGCTCCCTCATGAATATGCATGTACTCTTAGCATAAAGCTTCCCCAGTTTTGCTGTTGGGGAGACACTCTTTTGAGAACAATCCCTGGTGTTCTCCTTACTTGCTTCAAGTAATAATAAATCCTTCCTTCTTCTCCCGATCTTTGGCTTGGCTGTGTCTATTGGCTCAACACCCACCAAGAGGCAAACCCAGTTTTCAGGTAACAACTGAGGATGAAAATCAGCAAGATCGGTGACAAGTCTGACATGGTGGCTGAAGCAAAGCAGCTAGGAGTCAAAGAGAGATTTCTAGCCCTAGAGTATTATATCCATGAGATTCAGTACCTGGTTGGACTTAGAAATTAACAACTGGATCTTAAATATAAAAAAAAAATCACTCCAGAAAAATATGTCAATTTGTTCTCCACAGCAATTATCCTGAAGTACTACTGAATGTAGGAAACAAAGGTAAGTTATCTATGAAACCCAGTTCTACTACTGGGAAAAAAGTGAAAATGTCATCCTTGGAGCAAATTATTCATTGAATGACCATGGCATGTACATCTCAAATTTCCTCCCAAGTGGCTAGATCATCTACTGAGAAGCAAGGATTATTGGATTAGCTCCAAAACTGTATAAAATACACCCAAACTGAATACTTGAATGGGTTAAATTAGTTCTGGATACATCTTAAGTGATCTAGACTTATACATCAGTACTTATGTTGGAAATCTACGTGGTAGTTGTTCAATTCTAAAGATGTTGCCTCTAGATTCCTGTCCCTTAATTATTCAATCAAATGCTAATCTAGGTACTGCTGTGACTGAACTTTGCAGAGGGAACTGAAGTTACCTATCAGCTGACCTTAAAATAGGGAGCTTGTCCTGGATTATCTAGGTGGGCCCACTGTAATCACTGAGCCCTTAAAAACAGAGGAAGAAGAGGGGGAAGTTGGATACTGAGATGCTGCCGAATGGGAAGTCAGACAGATTCCAAATGTGAGAAGAGGGCTCTGAGATGCAGAGGTCCATATGCAAGGCTCAGAGAGACAGGCCTCTAGGAGCAAAGGCTGGCTCTTAGCTAACAGCCAGTGGGGAAACAGAAGCCTCGTTCCTACAGCCACAAGGAATCAGAATCTGCCCACCAAAATGAGCTTGGAAGTGGAATCTTCCCAGAGCCTCCTGATAGGAGCTCAGCCAGCGGACACCTTGATTTCAGCCTAGTGAACCGAGAGTAGAGAAACAAGCCAAGCCAAACTAGACTCCTGAGCTACAGAACTGTGAGACTGAAACCGAGCAGGACCCTGTGGGGCTCCTGGGCACGGAAGCCTTTCTGTTGTTTCTTGTTTGTAGGGAACAGACTACAGCCTCTGTGACCTTCCCTGTGTTCCAAAGGGCAGATTCGAACAGTTGCTAATCAGAGGCGGGAGGAGATGCAGAGACAAGGGAGGAGCAGTCAAGAAACAACAGTGCAGCCTTGGGGCAGGGTCCTGGTGCCCCCTCAAGGGATACACATAACAGTATCTTTGAGCTCTTTACAGAACTAAAACCCCCAACAAATGGAAGATGTCAGCATTGTTCATTCCAGAGAAGACCACCTGAGGCCAGATTAAAGGAACCAGAGAAGCTCATCAAGAGACTACCTGAGGCCAGATTAAAGGAGTGCAGGCCCTGCACACACCCTAATCTTAACAGCAACCCCCTCCTTGAACCACTGCTATAAAACTCCTCACCAAATCCTCTCAGGTTGGGACAACAGTTCTTCAGGGGCATGAGCCCGCTGTGTCCCCCTTTTCCTGGTAAAGCAATAAAGCTATCCTTTTCTACTTCACCCAAAACTCTGTCTCCAAGATTCAATTCGGCACCGGTGCACGGAGGCCGAGCTTTCGGCATCAAGATCATATATTTACACTGCTCTAAGCTGCTACATTGAGGCAATTTGTGATGGTGGCCACAGGAAGCTAACAGAGTCGTTAAGCATAAAAACCTATTTGTTTTAGCATTCAACTCAGGAAATGATTTGCATGGCTTCTAAGAAGATACCTATGAAAAATTCAGAGGAAGAATAGGGCAGAGGTAGGCAAACTATGGCTTGTGGGCCAAATTCACTTCACTACCTGTTTTGTACAGCCTACGAGCTAGAGATGGTTTTTACAATTTAAATGGTTGGGGAAAATCAAAAGCAGAAGATTTCATGACATGTGAAAATTAATATGAATTATACTCAAAAGGCAGTGTCTATTAATAAAGTTTTATTGGAACACAGCCATGCTCATTTGTTTATGTGTTGTCTCTGGCTGCTTTTCTGCTACAACTGCAAACTTGAGGAGTTACAGCAGAGGCCACAGTGCCCACAAAGTCTAAAATACTTACTGTCTGGCATTTTATTTTTTAAAAAGCCTGCCAACCTCTGCGATAGAACAAAGAATTGACACAAAAAGAAACAAGAGCAAGGGGAATAATACAGATCAGCTATAGAGAACCACCTAAGAGAGGCATGCCAAAGTCTCAGCTCGTATTTTTTGTTTGTTTGAGTTGGTTTTTTTGTCTTTGTTTTTTGGTATGTTCTTGAGATATAGGGTGAGGTGGATGGCACATCGATGGCCGTTTCATGTGTGACAGGGGAAAGAGGGCCACACCAGGTCTACATGCCCCAGGAAATGGGCCTCCATATCATCTTTACCATATATGCCTAGAGCTGCCAACACCTAACACAAATAAGATCTTCCCAGAATTGTTAGTCATTACTTCTTGCTATCCTTATAAGAACAATAACTATAATCCTTATATTTGCTCGACTCAGATATGGACTTGAGTCACCTGTCGTTTCAGAACTCTGCAACATCCAACATCAGAACAATCTCTTGGGATTATGCCTTTGCCACCTTCTCAAGTCCTGGA